AAATAACATTTGGAATAAATTCAATTAAGCTAACCAGAATTTTTTTTAATTATTTTTTTTTGAAACATGCACATCTCAACAGACAACAAGTTAAGAACGATGGTGCAAACAACAAATTTGCAGTTATCATTTTTCTGGAAGTTATATATTTTCAAAGTTTGCAGTTTCACGTTTATACGCATTCACACAACAATATACTTAATGGTCGTTTGCTGAAGCGTATAGGATTTTTATTTTTTTTACGTATCTTAAACAATTCAGAATGATTGTGAAATCAGAATTTGCACAATCAGCGAATCATTTTTTTTTAAATCACATTAAATAAGGAAATTAAAAAAAAAACTTCTGGCTTAATCAAAACATTATTTGCACATTGTAATTAGTACTATTGTCATCGTCGTCACTATCTGAGTTTTTGACGATTGTGTAATCCTCTTTAAATTTCTGCTGATGGTGGAAATAAATATCCAGCAAGTTAAAAAAATACATATGTTTTTTTGCAATTATCTTCAGGTAGATAACAGTTAATGAGTATATTGTAACCTTGCCAGTTAAAGTAATACAAGTGTAGTATGAATGAAAAATGTTCATAATTAAACAAATAATGCAATTTTATTAATATTCTTTTTTAGAACAAGTGTTCAAATATTTTATTTTTTTTGAATATACATTGAATTTTTTATAACTGAATATTTTGACCTTAAATATGTTAACTTGAATATTCTATTACAGGATATTTTATCTCAGTACCGCTTGTGGGTCCTATAGTAATGTTGGCTTCACATTTTTTTGAATGGCACTATCCATACATCCATCCATTGTTTGATTATCCATACATTGTACAGGCACATAGATAGAATTGCAAAATTAGGGTGGCCTAATTATTACCAACATTTACTCCCCCCCCTTCCATTTGCTAAAGCCGTTAGGTAAAAAAGAAAGTAATACAGAGGCCGACACAATATTGTCACTTCTCAATATCAGATGTAACTGAAAAGTAAACAATTTAACAATAACAAGTAAAAATAATACTAAACGAAGGCCCTGGCAAACTTTCACAGTTGTAATAAAATACATTTTAATTTATTTATTTTATTATGTATAAAATTTTCATAGCATTAATTGTTATAGTTGATTATAGCAAGAAATCGGCGATAGTATTTATACTTAAAGATTATGAATTGGTACCTAATACCAATGACATATGTTATCGCATCATACGCTTAATAATTATCGAGGTATCAGTTCCAATTCAGTTCCAAGCAATGATGACGGGATGAGAAATGTCGAATTACTGAAATAGGAATGCGGGTTCATGCGACTTTTGAAAAATTAATATTATTGATGCATTATATTCTACGTTAACACGACGAATACAACAAACACTATAATCGATTTATATGCTAAATTCTGACAATCTGAGTGATGCAATAAATTACAAGCTGTTATGTTCATATTTGTAATCGCCATGAGAACCCAAAGTTAAATATAATTGTGTAGTTATAAGTTATAACAATTATCATAATAGACATTTAAAATATGGTTTAATTTTTACTAAATTTGTCGTAGTACCTCCGCTGGGAGGCCTCTACACTCAGTCTAATCTGTCGTTATTTATTTTATTTTTATTTAATTCATCAATTGTTCTTATTGTTCTATTTTATTGTAACAGATTGAATAAAAATCCTTTAATAACAAAAAAAAAAATTATTCGAGCATTTGATGATTCAACTATATAACGGGGTGGCCTGTAAATATTTTGGGTCACTGGACCACCACTTAGCTACGTGCCTAGGTTAGGGCTAGGCTAGGTTTGTAATATAATTAATATAATTTAAAAAAATCATATTTAAAAAACATTAATAAAATTAATAAATACAATTTTCTACAGTGAATGATTAAAAACGTAACAGCGATTTATCATTTTGAATCATTTCAATAATTTTATTTAATATATATCTTTAGTCATTTTAATTTTTAGTTTTTATTAGTACTGATCTTTTTATCAAGTACATATTTTGTATTTAATAAATATTTTTTAAATTAATACAGAATTTTTTTGAATATAAATTGTTTTATCAAGAATATATTTTTTATGTAATATTGATTTTTTATTAATTTTCTTTTTCAAATTGAGATTTCTTTTATGAAATACAGATCTTTTGGAATATAAATTGTTTTATCAAATTCAGATTTTTTTATTAAATTTAGATTTTTCATTTAACAGTTTTTCTTAAGATTTTAATTTAACTATGAATTTTTATATAATAAACTTTTTTATTAATTACTTTAGTTATATTTTTTACCAACAATAGATTTTTTTTATTGATTTTAGATTTTTTATTACAGTTTTTTTCATAGATTTTTTTAACCAACAGAATTTTTTTAAGATTTTAATTCAATTTAGGATAAGTAAAGGATTGTAAAAGTATAAATTGAAAAAAAATCATTTTGATGAAAAATTCATACATTAAATTATTAATAAAATATGTTGGATAAAACATATATATTTAAAAAAATTCTGTTTCATAAAAAATCAATAAAAAATACAAAATTAATAAAAAAAATCGACTTTTGGTGAAAAAAAATTCTTACTTGATTAAAAAAATGGAAATTGAATTAAAAACTATATGGTAAAAAATTCTTAATTTAAAAAAACTAGTTTAAAAATTAAACATTTTTTTAAAAAACTAATAAATGTTAATCATGAAAAAATTCTGTTTGATAAAAAATCTAGAAAAAAATATGCATAGCAAAATTAATAAAAAAATCCATTTTTTGATAAAAAAATTCGTAGACCTTATGCTAGGAATCGTAATGCTTATTATGTAGCTGGTTTTTCTCGTTAGTAGCTTATATATGAACTGTAGTACCTACTAATGACAAATAACACTTGTTCCTTGTAACTAATTAATGATTGATTTGAATTTTTATTTTTCATGGCAATTTGAACGTTCATTCACATCTATTCTAAGATATTATAAGTTAAATGCAATTAGAAATGGAATTTCTCCCACTTCAATTGACTAAGCCTCTGATATTTAGTTTTGAATTAATTTATGTTTAGTCCTATATTTTTTTCATTTACTATTAGTGTATTTGGTATATTTCTTGCTTGATCTTCTATTTCACCAATTATTATTAAAATATCATCCATGTACCTAGCCATAATCTTTTTTTACCCTTAAATGTTTAGACCTTTTGTTATTTATTGATGATTCAAAAAAAATGTTAGAGAGTATAGGGGATAAAGTATCCTCTTGTCTCAAACCAGTTTCTACTGCAATTTTTTTGATAATACAGAGTTTAAATTTATTTTACATTTTGAATTTTGTATACATCCCATTACTAATTTCACAAATGTTGTCGATATTCTGAGTTCAATCATCGCCTGCCAAAAATGACTTATCTTGATGGAGTCCTAGGCTTGATTGAAGTTCTCAAGTAAGTTTATATTTTAGTATAATTCATAGGTTTTTCCCATGATTTTGAGTATTTATAGTCTACTGTTATCTAACTCTATGTGATCTCTACCCGGTTATCTCCTATTATATCTTTAGATTATGATTGCACCATATTTAGTTAGCATATTTGATAGGACTTCATATGACGTATTAAGAACTAAGACTTGAAATTCTCCTACATTTCTGACAGTGTTAACATCTCCTTTTTAAATATCGATCACTTTGGTTACATATTTCATACTGATGGTATTACACTATAATCTCATCTTTCTATATTTTTCCAGCCTTTTCTGCTTTTTTTTACAGTTACCTTCTTCCTTCTTCCTAGGGTGCTTTTCCTTCTTAAGCATATATTTTATTGATTGTTCAATTTCTTTCATTGTAAGTTACTTTGAGTATTATTTATCCGTAGCACATTCTTTCCTTTGTTTTTTGCCTCATTTTGGATTGACCGATTTTTTTCAAAAACGTTTTTGAATCATCTAATCGCTTCTGATTTTTCTTTTACAAATGATCCATCTTTTCTTCTCATAATTGTTGACCTTTTTTAGATCTAAGTTTTAATTTCATTATCTTTTTCAGAGAAAAGCTTTGTGCTATTTTCCTAACTATATTCTATAATTTTTATCCATAATTTTTCTCACTATCATTTCTTTCTCCTGCTTTCTAATGCTTTGTCTCTCTCTGTTTGATCACCAGAGTTATCTTATAATTTTCATTATTGATCTGAAGAACCTCTATTCGTGCTATACCTCAGTCAGTCATTGCTCTCTTGCAAGTCTTCAAATCCCAAAATGCCATTTCCCGCATTCTTTATAACACTCATTATGCTATTCCAAATGTCTTCTAAATTGCCTGTTTCTTGCATTAATTGTAATTTTTCTGTTTGTTTTTTATGTCTTCTCCTTCCATTGATTGATTTTTAAAGATTCAATAATCATCCTTCTTAACAATGCTGTTTTTAGCCATTCAACAGTCAAATGACAGATCTAATTTTCACTTGAACTTAAACAAGAAATCGACCCAATATTTAATATGCTTTTTATCATATTCCAGACATCTTTGAACCATATTTTCATTTTTATTTCCACTATAAATTGGTCTATTTGATTCCTTGTCAACCAAACAGGAGCACACAAATGTACTCATACTTATATATAATTTCAATTGGCATAACAAAATTGATTAACTTAGTTAAGTTATCATTTAATTTTTTATGCAAGCTTTGTTTCACAATTGTTGGCCGGTATGTTTTACTTTATTTGCCAGTATCAACTAATAAGCTAAATACAATTTATCATGGCATATGTTTTGTATCACATCGTCCTTCTCTTTGATTGGTGAATAGGAAGTTATAACAACTAATATAATGACATATTTTCATTGTATTTTCATGTAACTTATTATATTATTAAGTAATTGCTTAAATTTTTTAATTTTGGCGCTATCTTAAAATTTTAAATTAATCCTATGCCATTTTAGTTCTATGTTCCGACAGTTAGAATTAATGACAATATTGCATAATTTCAGATGGTCATCATAACATTAACAACATAAAAGTTGCAGCAGCCAAAAGTATGAGTTTCAATTTCAATAGTTATAATACAGATGCTATGTTTGTGATGAAAGATGAAGATCATCAAATGGAATTACTAAATTCACTTAATATGATGCGCAAAAGTAGAACATTTTGTGATGTTATATTAAATGTAAGTTAAATCATTGTTTATGACTGTTCAACTGATATTTGACTTTGATAAGTTCATATTACTTTAAATTATTAAAATTGAGTCTAAAATACACAATTTATGAAATTAAGATTAAATTACAACATGAAATTGGTTTACTAGGAGCTTGATATGGGAACTTTTTATTTTTATTTTTGTGGGTTGACCGGGGAGTTTTGACCATTTTAAAACATAGACCAACCACCATGAGTGTGTGTAGGTGGGCAATTGCGAGTTTTATGGTCACCGAGCTGTATTGGCCAGTTCAAGTCGGCTTCTGATGGAGATTCTTAGTCATGATGGTGATGAAAAGAAGAATTCACAGCGAGGAGCAATCACAACATGTACACTGAACACTGGTCCACTCATTGATAGTTCTGCTGTTGAGAAACTCATCGAATACACCTACACATCTCGGTAACCCATTAGTCACTACCATTTATTTATCTAACTCTTAAAATCACTCCAGAATTAAATTATTGATGTCTGTGTAGAAGCATTGATAAAAAACATGGAAAATACTTACCTAAGTTTATAAAACTTAATATAATTTAAATACTATATCAAAATATAATCATCTAATATAATATGGTTTCTTTATAATAATTTTAAATATATTTCAAATGCTATAACAAATCTATGCTTGGGTATCTTCATCTGTCCTAAATTTAAAACCACTATCTTTAGTTATTCATTTTTATCACTTAATTCACAAGTGTTTATACATAAACTTAGGTATGGATTTTTGTTGATTTATATTGATTCATATTTTTTTTCAGTCTTGAAGCAAATGTTTGTCAAGTAAAATCAATATTCCAAGCAGTTTGTTATTTAAGAATGGACCGTATTGCAAAAGAATTAGCTCATTTTATACTAAAATACTTAAATGTCAATAATTGTATTGATATACGTTCTCTTCCCAGTATATCAATAAGCATATCGTTTATAAACCAATTAAACTCATTTATATCAGCACATGTAAGCTTAATATGACTAAAACAAAAAAAAATACTTATATATTTCTAATTTCAAACTATAGATGAAAGAGATTGCTGAAACTTCACATTTTCTTTCATTACCATGCATACGAATTGAAATTTTGAATCAAACAAAACAAGAGATGTCTTTGAGTACAGGTGATTCCGTATCTCAGTTAGTGTTGGATTGGATTCAACGTTGTTATGATGATAATGAGCCAGAAACATTCTTTAATGACCTTATGAAAAACGTAAACTATTAATAACAAGTATTTTTATTAATTTTAAGACATAATGATTTGTTTGTTTAGACATTTATGTTATACTTGGCATCAGATAACATATTACAGGATTGTTCACAACTTCCACCTGGAGAGTTAAGTGATACTGAAATTGTGCAGGATTATAAAAAGTTGTCTATTCATAAAGTAAACACAAATATCAAATGTATAATTTTTTAACAACTTTTATGTTTTCTATGATATTTGTATACTTTAGACTAGACGTAAAGGTCAAATACAACCAGCTAAATCTAGAGTTTTAATATGCAACAGTAAAATGCATGAACAAGGAGAAAGTTTTCCTGATGGTGATTGTGCTATACTTGGTGTTACTTGTGTTGGAGGTATCTATTCATTATTTATGTTATCATAAATAAATCTAACTTATTAATCATTTTGTATTTAGAACATATTTTTTCTGCTTTGGCCTCACTAAAAGGTCAATTGTGTTCTTTGAGCATAAAATTGAAACTAAATGTATCGATCTTATCAAATCCGTCAACTGAACCGCCACTATTGCACAGCCGAGCTGAGTCACATCAATCATTGCCTGATCTTTACTCTGCTTTAACTCCCATGACATCTGGGAAATGTGCTGTTGGTTGTGCCAATCTTAACAACAATCTATTAGTATGTGGAGGTTATGATCGAGCTGAATTTTTAAAAACCGTGGAGTCTTATGATCCAGAACAAAATGTTTGGGAAACTCTTGAACCTATGTGTGAAGCACGTGGCAGGCTCAATATAGCAGTGTTGAATAACAAAGTATATGCAGTTGGAGGATGCAATGGAACAACAGAATTATCCACAGTTGAATGTTATGATACCATTAAAAAGTGGATTCCTGTGACTTCCTTACCACTAGCTCGATCAAGTCCTGGTAAATAACGTATTTAATGATGTACATAATATTCGAAGTTCCTGTGTAATTATAATAATTATGTACCTATACAATTGTTTAGGTGTTTGTGAACTGAATGGTAAAATATATTGTATTGGTGGATGGAATGGTCAAGATGGAATTACACAAAATGATGTCTATGATCCAAACACAAATGAATGGACTAGTATTGCTCCATTGCAAACAGGTACCTAAGGTTAATTAAAATTAAACTAAATAATACAAATTTTAAACCAATAGGAAGAAATCAAGCAGGTGTATGTGCAATGAATGGTAAAGTATATGTTGTGGGTGGTTGTGATGCTTGGAATTGTTTCAACACAGTAGAGTGTTATGATCCTGTAGTACATTCATGGTCATTTATTGAACCAATTATTACACCTCGACGGGGTTTTGGCCTGGCTCATATCAAAGGTTAACATTTAGATTTTATAAATCTTACATATACCGCCAAAAGCAATATAATACTATGATTAATACGTTATTATGTTTTTACAGGGAAATTATATGTTGTGGGTGGTTCTGACGGAACTCAATCATTAGCTACTACTGAAATTTATGACCCTAATGAAAAAATATGGATTCCAGGACCAAACATGATTACATCTCGTGCAAATGTAGGAATCGCAGTAGTTAGGAATAGATTGTATGCTGTTGGGGGATTCTCTGGTAATTTTATCTATACATCTATGCTACAAAATAATTGTTCAATTATATAACTCATTTAATAATGATTAAAATATAAATCATATTGTTTCTTAAGGTAAAATATTCTTAAACAGCATTGAATTTTTGAAAGAATCCATGGATGAATGGACTCGGTTTAGTCCAAGGAATACCTAATTGTTCAAAATCAGAACTTCCATGTGCAACTACCTACTAATAAAGTATATAATTTAGAATAATTTTAAAGATTATGAAATTTTAAATGGCTCTGAAATGGTGTCTTAGTTTAATGGGAAGAAAGTTATTTATTTTTTAACATAAATAAATAATATATATTTTTAGTTATCAAATATTATGTATTTACAAAATTGCTTAATTTAATAATGTAGTTATTTTTCAACAATCACAATGAATTTACACCAACTGACCTTTTAGGATTACTCAGAAAAAATAAACTTAATATATAAGACTACAAGGTACACCTTTAGATATAATGCATGGAAGTGCACTATCGAAATCACAACTATCACCATCATTATTGGCCAGTTTAAGATAGAAGCAATGAAATACTAGACATTTTACCCCTACATTTAAATTACTAGTGTTTCATTAGTTCCGCCTTATACTGATCAATAGTGTTTGCAAAAGTTGTGATTTCGATAGTGAAGTGGTACTACCAACTACCAAGTATTGCAACTACATTGAAAGAATAAATCATACTCTATTTTATATTGAAAAAAAAACTATTTTTGACACTACAATGTTTTGCATTACAAGTAATCCATTTTACTCTCCCACATTCAAAAATAGAGTGAATTAACTCATTATAAAATTGAGGGATAAGATTATTATCTAAGAAGTCTTGGAAAATTGTATTAATATTTTGAAGCAAGTTATGAATATTTTAAAATGTACAAAAAAATAAACAGTTTTATAATACTCACAATTTACTTTGTGATTGCAATATCAATAAAAGCTAGATACTCTTGTTAATAAATTTAGCTTTAAATTCATTCTAGTAGTAAAGTTTTAAAAATAAGAGAATACAATGGATTATTGTAAACATACAATTTAAATTTAAAATAATAACTTATGTAACAAAATTTATTTCAAGAATAAAACAATATAAACAATAGAAATCCTAAAGAGTTAAAATACTATATCTTTATTCTTTTTTGGTAGGTACTGAGTATTTTTCCATTTATTGTAATATTTAGGAAATATATATAAAATAATAATATTGTTACTAATAAATAAACAAATAAAACTTTAATATTGTTTCGAAATATTACTTAATTTTTTTTTTATGTATTTTATTATCTAACAAGTAATTCGTTATCAAATAATTGTACTTTTTTTATTTATTTGGTTGGTTTTAAAAATCAGAAAAGTTATGATACTAAACTAAAATATACTTAATTCTTATTATTTTGTCTTTATATGAAAATAAAATATTTATATAATCTGTATCCACGTTTTTATTATTTTTATTTTCATTTATTCTTAACATAGATCATGGGCCCCCTGGCTCATGAGTACACAATTTAAAAAATAGACTTATTAAATAGGCACATTTCTCAGTTATTAAAACAAATCCTATAATTCCTATAACTTATAAACATATATTTCATATTTTGTTCTTGAACGCTGTTAAAGAAGCTTCAGTGTAATTTTTTTTTTAGATATTTAAAAGATTATGTTAGTGTTTAAATGATGACTTTGTTTAATCTCTTATGGTGATATATTATTGTTTATTTTTGGACTTATAATATTATATAGATTGTGGATTGTGTTAATTTGTTGGGCTTGGTTGGTACTTAGATATAAGATATTTTTCTAGTATTATCTGTATAAGTTTTGAACGTAAGATTATTTTTTAACTGGGTAAAGTATATTTACCAAAACTTTATAAAATAATTTTTTATACTGGCAGTAGGTGCATTCATATTGTTCAAGGTATAAGTATTTTATATGGTAGGTGTCTGTCCTTTTTTAGAACATTTTTTAATATTTATTTTTGTAATTTTTTGAATAACCTCAAGTTCTATAATTGTATAATAGTGTTGATGTTATTTAGTTTATATATTTAAAATTTGTGTATCTATACATTTTATTATAAACTAATAATAAACATTTTTATTTTAAACAGTTTAATTAGCCACTTTACACATTTTAAAAAGGTATGTGTCTAAGATAATTTTACAATGAAAAGGACTATATCCAACATAATATTGTATAAATGTAATTGATATTAAATTATTTTTACTTATCAACATGTATGAAAACAAGTATAGTATTGAGGTGATCAGAAAATTGTTTTTGTAACTATGAAATGCCAGCCCAAAATGTAAATTTTGAAAATTATGCAACACTTGTTCCATAGTTTCTTACTGTGAAAACCATATTTTTTCTAATTCAATACATTTGTTGATAGGTTTGTAACGATTTTGTTATGTTAGGTTACTAACTCGAAAAACTTGATAACTCGAATTCTTTTTTTTTACTTCCCTAGAAATTCTCAAAACACTCAATATAATTTATAAATATTATTAACTTGAATATAAAATTGTGATGAATAGCTTAGTCGAAGTATATTATTATATCTGTGATATCTGCAGCTAGGGTATCTGGGTATTTCGTAATATTATGTTTTATCTACTTGAGTACACTATACAAATTAAACAAGTAGATAGAAACTGATTCTTAGCTCAGGCACAATAATAGTAAATATGTATTGGTTACGTAGTATAGTAGTATATGTCTACCTGTCGTGTCTATCGCTCTATCATGCGTATTTTTGAACATTTTGTTTTTAAACATGTCTCAAAAATCAAAATTAAATCATTTAACTTAAGCTGACAAAGTTCAAGTGATACAATTGGTGGAGAAAAGTAACCCGAAAATATCAAACATCCCGAAAGAATTTAATATTCCACCGAATACGCTGTCAACATTTTTAAAAAATAAGGCAGGTCCGTTACCCTGGCATCCCTATGTTACAATTTTCCACAGTAAATTATACCATTAGTTAGTAACCTATTTGCAACCAAAAGGGCTGTATTTACAATTTTAGGTCAACCATATTTTTACACATCATTTACCTTCACCCACCAAAACATAGATCCAGTTTTTTGATATTTCCTAACACATTTTTACTTTTTAGTTATGATTCTTCATGGTAATATCATGTTTGCAAACCTTGGCAAGTTAATGATGATTTTTAACTGAGTTAAGTTAAGTTTATAGAATCCATTTTGAAAAGTTTAAAATTAATAGTTAATCTAATTTTTTTAAACTCAGTTAAGTTAAAAGTTATATGGAAACTTTCAATTAACTTAGTAACTTAAGTTAAGTTAATAATTTTTTTTTTTAATATATAAATAGCTAGTCATATGGTTTGAAATAATAAAATTCATTAACATTATTACACTCAGAAAATTGACATTAAACAAAATTTGGAAAATAAAGGTGCAGATGAAAAGAATTATGTAGTTGTAGTAGGTGCCAAAAGTATACAAAAAAGATATATGAATAACCTTTTGATTTATTTTAATAGATAATAATATAAATATATAATATTCATATTTTAATTAATAAATAAAAATAACATTTCATTTTTAACTGAATACTTTTTCAGAAAATTAAGCAAAACTTATGAATTAGTATAATATTTATTGAATTTTAACAAAAGAGTCATCTCAAAATTTTTGTCAGCCATTGATCATCTACGTTTATTTTAATAATTGACCTCCTGCACTAAACAAACGTTCTACATGTGCAGATGAAGGAATAGCCGTGTTACATTGTATATATGCGTTTCTTAAAACTAATGGCGAATCTAATTTACTTTTAATGTTTGTGTTTAAAAAATAATTGTTTATTATAATTTGGATAATAAGCACGACTTAAATATATTTATATATAAACATATAATATATATATATATATTAATTCGTTGTTATTACTTATTAGTTATTAGTATTTACTATTTAATATTGTTATTTTTACACTACCTATACCCGTATGCCGAGGTCAGTGTTTGGAAAGAACGTCGTTCATGAACGCACGTTCACGCGTTCACGTTCATATATAGTGAACGATACGTGAACGTCACTCGTTTTTTGCAAATAGAACGTGAACGTGAACGACGTTTATATTTTTAATGAATTTGATGAATTTTTAAGACGTTCAATTTATTTACCATTTAATAAATATTATATGTATAAAATATATTAATTAATTATATTATAATAATAATATTTTCATTTTTCCCATTATAATTCCTATAATATTCGTTTGATTGCAAAATATATAAATTAAATACGGGCAATTCCAGTGTCCCCGGCTAGACATACATAATATTATGATTTCCACGAATTCGTAATAAACCCATAGATATTAAACATATGGATACGGCATCTAGCGGTTAATAATAGTATGAATTATGTTAGCTTACAGTTTTTTGTGTTATGCCGTATCCATATGTTTAATATCTTCTATGAATAAACCTAATCGGTTTATCGTAATAAAAATGAATATGTAAAGTGTACATCATGGACTAAAATATATATCTATTATGAACGGGGTATCGTGTATAAACATGGGCTTTATCGTTTATCATCTGCATCGTCGAATTTAAATTTAATTACTGGAAATCACAAAACGACAGTGACGCTCAGTCGCGCAGAACATGCACGGAATTTATTTATAGATGTGATTGTTGTGAAATGTGTACAGTGTACACTGGTCAGTGACTTATCAGTTATCATACATTTGAAATTGTTCAGTTTTCACTGTTTCAGTATCTTTAATGAATTAGTTTTTAATTGTCGTGCGTCGTTTTCTATACCGTGACCGTCTACTGTCTAGTTAGTGAGTATTTAATATTTATAATGAATTTAATATTTATAATGAATTCAAACAAAAAACGTGTAAATATTGACGCAAATGAAACTAGTTCAAAAAACAATACGTGTATCCCATGGTATGGGTTTGATAAATATTTCAAATATGTTGAAGAAAGTGAGGGAAATATTAAAGTATTATGCTTATTATGTTTGCCATCCAGAAAAACTAAAAGCACTTCCAAAAAATCATCCACGAATTTAAAACGACATATGAAGGTATGTATTATATTATTAATGTTTAATAGGTATGTTTTATTTATCATAACTAACTGATTTACTTCCAGTTTTAATAATATATTTTTTGATTTCCATCCACTATCGTAATACGGTGTTATTCAAAGTAAAGTGGGACGTGGGTATATTAGTATATTAATTGTACTATGCTAAATTCTAATCACTAATGTATTTTAATATTATATAGTATATTAAATATTAATATATAAATAACATATTTTCCCTTTTTTCTGAAAAAATTAGTAGGAAGTGTTATAAAAAAAAAGTTAATATTCTGTTAATTTATTTTTTAGTTTTTAAATACCTTATTTAAATTTCTGATTTTCTAGGACTATCATAGGTAGATAACAATTAGTTTGTACACTAATTTCCAAAACTGTAGAAAGTTAACTACCTAGGTAGTAGGTACCTACTTTATTTATGTAATTTAATTATTTACTCTTTTAGGTAAAAAATAAATATTTCAAGTACCTACATATAAAATACCTACTTATTTTTTTTCTTTTTTTTTTTCAGAAAGTTCATACATATAAGTATGCAGAGTTCCTTGCTGATACAGATGTAGAAAAAAAAACGAATTGTTTACAAAATGATGAGGATACAGTTACAAAAAATCTACTGATAAATGATAAATCGAGCAATCTCATACAGACTACATTAAACAGAATAGGTACTGGAAATGAAATAATTACACAAAAACAACTGGACTCAGCAATAATTAAATTTGTTGTTCAAGATACACAGCCAATTAATATTGTTGACAAGCCAGTATTTTTGAATTTAATTAGATTGGGACTTCCAAAAACATTAACTGTTATGTGTTCAAAAACATTAAAAACTCGATTAAACTCTGCAGCTAATGCAATGGTAGATAATATTTCTAAAACACTGTCAAATATTGAATATATATCAGAAACTGCAGATTGTTGGACCCAAGGTAAAAAATCTTACCTTGGCATAACAGCCCATTGGATTAATATAACAACGTTAGTTAGAGAAGGAGCATCATTAGCTTGCACAGTGATAAAAGGTCGACATACTTTTGATGTAATAGCACAAGAAATATATAATATAAACAAAAAGTACAAAATTCAAAATAAAGTAACCAGTACTACAACTGATAATGGTAGCAATTTTGTAAAAGCATTTAGGGTTTTTGGAATTGATAAAAATTATGAGGAAAACTTATTCGATGAAGATGAAGAATTAGAGCTAATTGATTTAAATGGTATATTTGAAAATGCTGAAATTGATACAGAAATTGACTATGTAAATGAAGTTAGTTTGTCCGCTCACAGACGATGTGTGAGTCATACTTTGAACTTGGTCGCAACTAATGATGTTGAAAAATGGTTTAATGAAAATGAAAGAAAGGCTGATGTTCTTCAACTCAAAAAGCTCTACAGAAAACTCTTTGCAAAGCTAACAAAACTTTGGTCAAAACAAAATCAGTCGACGATTGTGGCAGAAAACATTCATGAAGTACTTAATGTGTATTTGAGAGTACCTAATAAAACAAGATGGAATTCTACATATGATGCATTAATTCAATTAAAAGGAATTATAAATGGACCTGGTGGCTTAGAAAAATTGAACCAAGTCATGGATTTTAATACATTACCAAGAATATTAAACGAAGAAGCTGTATTCATAAATGAATTTTGTGATATATTTGGACCAATCGCAGAGTCCTTAGATTTCTTACAAGGTGAAAAAGCCATGTATATGGGATATCTGCTACCGACTTTACATGCTTTGGAGAAAAAGATTAAAAATAGACAATGTAAACCTATGACACATTGTACACTTCTATTAGAAGCTGTTTTAAGATCATTAAAAAAAAGGTTTGTAAGATTAAATTAGAAAATTAAATAAATTATTATTTAATATATTAATCTTAATTAATATTACTTTTTAATAATTACTATGTTACTGGTGTTATAGATTTGCTCACATATGGATGGAAAAAGAATTAGTAATTGCTGCATGTCTTATTCCAAGATTTAAACTAAATTGGCTAGAAGGTGACGAAAAATTGAATGCTGAATTATTTTTAAAAACTGAGTTTTTATGTTCTGAAAATGAAGTATCTGATGGTAATTCAGTTAGTGATTCTGATTCTGATTCAAATAAAGATTTTTTTTGTTTACCAACAAAAAGCTATTCCAATAAAAATAATACAATAACCTCAGATCAAGAACTTTTAAATTTCTTAAATAACAAAAATATTGATTTAAAAAGTTTATTTGCATTTCCTAAAGTACTATTAAAATTTGTTCAGTTTAATACAGGTTTACCCTCTAGTGCACCAGTAGAAAGGTTATTTAGTACTGGAGGGAATGTAATGACATCAAAACGTCATAGACTGGGTGATGATATGTTTGAAAACTTAATTTTATTAAAACAAAATAAGATGTTTTGAAGTTCAATAAAATTTACAAATAGTTTTCTTTTTTATTTAGATAAATAGATATTTACCTACAGTTTTTTAAAAATTTTATTTGATGTTATAATACCTAACAAGGATACAAGTTGTTTTTTTTTTATTCAATAAAGTTTTAAAAATGTATCGAATTAAAATATGAATTATTTATTTATCATGTACCTATTGTACCTATTTACTGTTTTTGTTTCAATATTTGAATTGTCTGAGTTGAATATATTTAATAATTACAATTATAATTTTCAATTCGACCTAAATTTAAGTCTTCAATCGAAAAGATTTTTTCAACTCTTAAAAAAACTATGGAGGTAGCTGATTTTTCTAAGGCGACCTTGTCCAATCTCTTGGTTGTGTGTATAGTGCCCTAGTATTTGCTTAATTTTATCACTATGAAATTCTTATTAAAATGTAACTCAAATAACGTGTCAAACTTTATGAATTGTTGGGGAAGGTGGGGCAGAACGGGGGTCCTAAGGTATCAGAAGCAATAATTCACTCAAAAATTGTGTTTTTGATTTGAAACTTGAACTATGTAATCTTTAGGAAATGGTTATTAATATGTTAGCATGTTTTAAACATTCATTTAAGTCTCATAGTGTTAAAGGTAAAAATAGGTTTAAGTATAATTTTTTCCGTTTTGCCCCATACCTGGGGACGTCCCTCAAATATTATTTATTTCACATAAATATTATTTCATTTTACATAAATACAATTACATTAATCAACTTAAACTTTTTGTCATTTAAACAACTTGTATAACTTGCATATACATAATGTAATATATTATATTATATTTATGGGAATATATTTTAGTATACTAATTGTACAATAACAAAAAATAATAATTGCTTGTAAATTTTAACTTTTACATTTATTAAATAGGTACATTTTAATTAAATACTCATTATAGATATAGTGCCTACCCTAGTAGGTAAACTTAAAAATTAAAAAAAAAAGTAATGTTGTAAGGTACCCCATTATGCCCCAATGATTACACTTAACTTCAGCCGTTGTTAGTAAACACAACAATTATTTTTTTTTAATAATTAATATTATTAAAATAATCTTAAGAACATTTGCTATAGAAACAGCAAAAACAAATTTAAGATAGGTACAATAAGTGAACCATAAAAATATTTTGAAATAAAATAACAGTTTATTATATCAATCTATTGATAAGAGGCATGTGTAATGATTTAAATTTATTACTGATAAGATAATTGATATGTGAACATGAAATTTTTATTATATGATATTGTTGGCCCCAGAAATCTATATATTAAGTTTTTAAATCAGTATGATCATTATAACTATAACTATAAGACATAAATATTGAAATGTCCCCGTTTTGCCACATGGCCCCCCGTTCTGCCCCACTTTCCCCCATATGCTCTAAATTGTATTTTTATTTTTTGTTTGAGTCGTATGTGTTTATGGGATTTTAATTTTTATATTCATGGCAGGCTAACGATTCATAAAAAAAAAATTAAATGAACGCGACCCAACGAACGCGTTCGTTTTTTAAAAGAACGTGAACGTGAACGCGTTCGTTTGAAAAAAACACGAACGTGAACGTGAACGAGTTCCTTTTTGAAGGACTGAACGTGAACGTGAACGAGTTCATTTTTTTCGTGAACGTTCCGAACACTGA